GGAAGGTTCCGTCGAGGTTTGGGTGTTGGTTGTCTGTTTCCTCCAGATGGCTCCACGTCGGTGATGACGGGTGACCACGCAGATCAAGGACAATGATGTGTTCATTGTCGCGGAAGGTCGTGGGTGCTTCGAAGTCGAACACGAATACTCCGCCTTCGCTTTTTGCCTTTTCGAGAAGATTCCCTTCATACATTAAATGCATATCGTTTTCTGTTGTGAACGGGTTGACGTCACACTTCATCAACTGGCCGAGAGGCAGAAGGTTGTATCGAAGTTCTGGTATGACGATGACGCCGCTGACGTTTGATTCCAACTGAATCTGTCCGCAGCTTTTCGCGTAGATTGTTTGGCTGTTGGCGACAGTGATTTCGACCTCGTTGAAAAGCTATTCGATGTTGAGGATGAAGGTGCTTGACGAGACCGTGTGCTGTCCACAGCAGCTTTCCAGGTACCATCTGTTTACTTTGTTCTTGGCTTGGCGAGGTTTGTGAGCTTCGGAGTTATATGATGACCCGTGTCGTAGTCCTGCTCATAATTGTCTTCTTCGTCGTGTGCAATGCGTGCAGGTGGTGATTCTTGGATCCAGGGTGGCATCTGTCAGTCGTACACCAAGCGACCGACCGACAGCTCGTCGTAGGTGGGGTCGTTTTCCTCCTCGTCCTCGACCGACCCTTCAGGTCTTTCCTAAGGAGGATCCGCGAACATGTCCTCCCAGCTAAGGAACAATCGGTAGTGTCAGTTGGGGGGAGGGGGTCCACGACGTACCATGCACGTTAACACATTGCTTTTTTCCTTCTCGTTTGCGTTCGCAGGGATTTGTGTATGAGCTTGAGAGGTAATAGCGTCTGCCGGTGGCGATATTGTTTGGTTGCGCACTGGAGCTTCTACGGCTTGTTGGTGAGTTGCTCCACCTTTTTGGTCGTGATTGTTGTTGTTATTGTTCAGCTTCTAGCATTCTTGAATAATGTGACCTGTCTTCTTGCAGTACTTGCAGAAAAGTCTTTGCTTGTCTAGCGGCGCTTGCGCGTAAGATGCGATCTTCTCCTTCTTATTGCCTCTCTCGTTGTACAGGCCAATCTCCTGTTGTTCGGCGAGAAGCGACGCACAGAGGGCAGTTTCACTGAGAGTTCCTTGCATGCGCTAAAGTGACTTGCAGTGGCGCCATTCCAAAATCAGACCAGCGAGGATGGTGGTGAAAGTCGCCAGGGAAGTTGCTGCCGCTTTTCTTGAAATTGTCCCTCAGGTTTCTGCAGCGGTTGATGTATGGTCCGGATTTTTCGCCGGTAAACATTTTGACGTTGTTTAGCCGGTTCAGAAGGCGAATGTGTCTCCCGAGTCCGTTGCCATGTCGCAGGTGCGCATGCGTTTCCAGGCGTGTAGTCTGGCGCCTACTCATTTTTAAGGGACGAATGCTCAATTGTTCTTTGGACATCAGATTGCGGATCAGGACGGTGAAGGTCAACAGCGATTGGTTGTAGTACTCCGTCTTCTCTTGATGTGAGCTGTTGGTCGGGAAAGTGTCGTAGTACATCCACATCTGTGCGCCTTGAGCCAGGAGTCATTCCCGTCGAAGGGCAAAGCGGTCCTGAGCTTTGATGTCGAGAGAAACTTGCTATGCATTGACGCCATTGTTTTGTAATGCACTTGTTGTGATTGTGCAGAACCTTGAGCTGTGGAGGATCACTCGGAGTGAGTTCCTTGAGGATCATGAGGTCTTTGGGCGTAGCTTGAGCTGTCAATGCTCATTGGCTGATGGCTCTCCAGGACACTGATGCGGGAGTGAAGCTGTGTCCACGATTCTCGTTCCAGATGTGACATTTGTGGGAGATGGTACTGGATTTTCTCCAGCCTCTCCGCAATCCACGTCTGGCATGATGCTTGCCCTGGATTAATAGAAAGTTATAATGAAAGTTGTCTTGTTGAAGACCTTTTTGGCAGTTCCTATAATCCAACCTGGCTCTCATACCATGCTAGAGTTAGAATCTTGGATAGGATAGGATTGCCTTAGAGATTTGGTAGCGGGAAACTTGTGATAGGAACCTTGTGCATAGTGAATATAGATGACAAGATTGATAAAAAGCATAAAGTACAAGCAATAAATAGATCTAGATAGACATATACTCTAAGGGGTACATTCTCTGATTATAACAGTTTTACATGTACTTCTATATTGACTCTAGCAAATAGTTATCAAGCGCGCTAAAAAATATTGTAATGGTAACTGTGCGTGTTATGGAGCCCCATTTAAGTACCCATTTGCATTATTTCCCTTCATGCTATACTTCTCATATTCAGGGTCGTCGCTAGCAGAATTTTCTGGTCTGTTTGTCTTATATTCATAGTGTGGGTTTAGGTTTAATTTGATAGTTCAGAATTTTTTTGTGGTAGTATCTGTTTCCACATAAATGATTTTCCAATATAGCTGATGTGACAGACACGTTTTTCATGTTCAGCTGATGCATCAGGAACACTTTCCGGTTTCGTCTGATACCAGATCTTTCTTCACACGGACGCGATTCACGCGTGAACAAGGTGTGGTGTGTGTGTCTCCCCTTGATTACCGGAATGTATACATTGTACATTTTGCGGCCCGTCCTCCCACGTGTGTCTTTCGCCACCACAGCAAAAATATGATGCTGCAACAGGCACACAGACACATTACATGTTGTAGTTGCATGGTGTATGCGTCAAGACTTGCCCACGCAGGACCACCTCAGTCGTACGTGGCCTGTCACCAAGTGAGGGATTGGTCAGTTTTGTACAACAGTCATCTATCCAGCACCACAAACCCTCAAATTCGGCGCATACAGAAGGTTCAAGAAGCGCGATGCGGGATCACCACTTGACTGTGGTGCCACCCACAATTTTGTAGAACCGTGCGCGCTTCGTCAACTGGGGTGTGCGTTGGGGCGTTGGGGTTGGGGTCCTTCTTCTCCAACCATCTCTTGCAAACGCCCCTTACAGCCATTTTCAACCCGATACTCTGACTCCTTCTCGTTTCCCGTTAGTCCGTCTTCTCGCCATGGCGGACGACGCGGAAGTTGCTGAATCACCCACCCCACGGCCCCAGCCGCCAGTAACTGGCCTAGATTTCCTACGACGCTCCTAGCCTGCCACCGTGTTAGGCTCGTCCCCGCCGACTCGCGTTCCAGTAGCTCCTACCCCGAATCGCCAGAATGTTACGCCTATATCATGGCCCGATGTCAATGCTAGACGTGCTTTCAGCAGCACACCGCCCGTCTCCCCTAGTTCCTCGACTCGGAATACTGCGACTAAGCCTAGATCGCAAGCCTCGCTTAGCTCATCACGTGGTACTGCCGTCCCCCGTTCCTCAAGGCAGGCAGATTTACTCAAAGCACGCTGCGGATTGCTAAGACGGGGGTTCCACGCGTCCGCATCGTGGCACGCCCCACCACGACGCCTAGAGTAGGTGCTTCATCAACTCCACCAGCAGCTCATCAGACTGGTGATCCAGGACCGTCTAGGAGCACCATCCATGTTCCTGATCCAGACGCTCTAATAGAGAAGCTGCAAAGGAAAATTCAAAGAACGGAAGGACCAAGTGGATGGATTATTGGAAGGATAAATTCAAGTGGCTGATCATCACGCAGAGGAAGGACGGGACTCCGTGCATGAAGTGCAGCACATGCATGGCTCACGGTCCTGCCCATTGGAAGTTCGGGAGACTTGGCGATGGTGGCATTGATATCCAGCGGCAAACGATGCGGAAGCACGCTCTCAGCAGGAAGCACTAGGACGCCGTCAATGCGAAGCTTCGCGCAGAAGGCGGTAAGGTTGATCAACGGGGCATCGAGGAATACGAGAACAACGACAACGAGACTTCGATGTTGAAACAACTGATGCTGGTCGCGCTATTTATTTGCAAATCCGATTCCCCCATCTCCCTTTTTGTCGACCTTCTTCGCCTGTTGGCCGACCTTCAGACGCCTCACATCCTGGACAAGGCCATAGGGACATACCAGTCAGCGTGAGTGATGATACATTCGTGGTTTGTGTTTTTTATTCCACTCCGACTAATACCACCACTACTGTACGGCTTTCGTGAAATAACCGAAGCGATCGTCTCCAACCTTAAGCAGCAGCAGATGCGCCACATCCAGGCGTCTCCGTTCCTGAGCATTCAACTCGACGAGAGCACCGACCGTCGCAGAGGCAAGCACATGATCGTCTTTGAGTTTCATTCGCGATGCAGAGGTCGTTATCGAGCTGTTTGGGCACTTGACGGTCGAGAAGTGCAACGCGTCGTCTCTGTTGACGGTTCTTCTCGCCCATTTGGCCGTCACTGGCATCGACATCATGAAACTTTCGGGCATAAGTATGGATGGCGCGAGCGTGATGCGGGGTTCTCAGGCCGGAGTGGCGACACAGCTCAAACTGCGAGTCCCGCACCTGGTGACGTGCCACTGCATTGCTCACAGGTCCGTTATCACGTTTGCCTGTTGATTGTTTATGCCTCTGTTGTCGTTACCATTGCACACGTGTTCTAATCACGGTGATCTGCAATCCATGCAGGGAGGCTCTCGCCGCGAAGGACGCGGCGGAAGTCGTGCCTGACCTCAACATGGTGGACACGGTCGTACGGAGCGTCGCCGATAACCTGGGGAGGAGCATCGTGGTGCACTCAAGATTCATGAAACTCCAACACATTCTGCACGAGACATCGCTGGAGATGCAGGGGATTAAGGATGTTAGATGGCTGGCGCGTGGCGATGTGATTCAAAGGCTCGTGGCAGTCCTACCGGCACAATAGTCGTGTTGTGGGAGCACGACAAAAAAGCATACGCGACAGTCACAAGCTTCAAGTTTCACCTTTTCCTCTTTTTCCTGGCAGATGTGCTGAAACTGCTCAACGAGTTGAACCAGAAGTTTCAACGGCGCACAGTGAGCATCTTTGATGTCTGTTCTAGGCTCGATGCATACAAACGTCTCTGACGACCACTTCGTGCCGTGTGAAAGTGGACATCACCCGGGTGGCATCCATGGTCCACAACACTTGCGATAAGCTGAAGCAACGATACATCGGGCACGGCGTCAACTACGCTGAGGATAATAGCTTGCTGACTGAGTTCTTAGAGAAGCATGGACCGGTGAACAAGCGGGAGGTGACTGTCGAAGGCATGGATGCGGAGGGAAGTCCCGTCACCCACACTTTCAAGCTGCACGAGGACGCCATCAAGGGTCAAAAGTCCAAGGGTGATGTCGAATCGTGTATCACTATAACCTCCCTCTTTGCGCAGTAAGTTGTGAAGCACCTCTTGAAGCGGATGAAGAGCCTAGACACCCTCGCCGGATCGAAGCTCTTTCTGCCTGACGCGTACCTCGACGGTGTCGCGAAGAGAGATCGCCACTGCGCAGCTCTTTCAATGTTACAAACTTATTGTGATGTTTTCAAAAACTTACCTCCCCGCCGCCCCTCCGCTTGTACTTGCTACCGTGCGTGAGCAGGAGTGAGTTGGAAGAAGGCGGCACGGGAGCTTGTGCCGTTCACCAGGATGATGGCCTCGCAGTACAAGGACCAGACATTGCGCAGTGAAGATTGGGAAACGAGCTACCCCAACATGGTCCTCATCTGGATCGCTGTCGCTGTGCTGCCGTTGAGCACCGTCGAGTGCGAGCGCGGCTTCTCGAGGCAGAATATCATCAAATCCTGGCTCCGCGGAAATCTGTGCAACACTCGCCTGGCAGATTTGATGTCCGTCTCGCTCCTGCAGTACGAGCCGAACTGGGACGAGGTGGTGGCTGCTTGGAGGGGGGCAAAGAAGAGGCGCCCGGCCAGGGAAGTGACGATGAAGTGCACTCCAGAGAGAGCCCCTAAAAGGAAGGCTGAGAGAGGAACGAGAGTAGCTGACTCTGATGAAGACGAAGATGAGGAAGATGTGGTAAGGCGGAAGACGTCAAAGAAGGGCAAGGCACGTGCAGCTGTAGCCATCACGGACAGTGATGATGACGACGAAGAGGGAAATAATGGGCTTAATGTCCGAGCCACAGTGGCGCTAGAATCTGACTCTGAGTAGAGTAATTTTTAGGGTCTGACTGAGCCTTAATAATAGTAAACTTGATACTTCTACTAAGTTTGTACAAGTGACTTAGGCTTATGCCTGTACATTACCCAGAAAAACTGCAATCAGATCTGCAAATACACTTAGGTCTGATACGTAAGACATTGATTCTGAAACTTTCTGATCAATCAGACAGGAAGCTGTCATCCAACTGATGGAGCTGACGGGCCCGAAGGGCCCGTCTGCTCCATCAGGCACCCTCAGATCCTAGGGACAACCCTGCTCATATTCTCTGTCAACTTCATTGTAGGTTGTCCTACATCATTTTCCTTTATATAGCCCTTTTCATTTTGGATTAACCTGCTTTCAATCGTTTCTTTTACAATGAGGTAATAGAGAGATGTACTCAAATGAACGGTGATGGGAATGAATTGATTGAGAGATTTGGTCGTGGGTGGTTCACTTCTCTCATTGGCTGAAGGCATCTCATTCTCGACTCTGATTGGTCAAAGTAGTTATCCACCACCCTTTCCACCCATATCACGATTTTGTGACCAAGTGCGCGCCATGTGTGGGTTCAACCAGCAGCAAGTCAAGCTAGACCAAGGCAACGAGCTACATCCGTTGCGCTGCCACTCGCACTTGCTTGATAAAGGTCCCCGCTGTCCGTCCCCACTGAGCGATCATCATTCCTCCTTTTACCACATCCACTCCAAGACTGCAACCACCCCCTCCCCCAACCCCCACCATGCCAGCAACGGACATCAAGACGCAGCAGCAGCAGGCGGTGGGCAACAAGTTCAGCAATTTCTTGTTTAAGAGCTTGTTCAAGGAGAGCGGCAAGAAGCCACCGCGTGACGAGAACAATGTGTCAAGAGAATAAGGCAAAAAGAGAGAGAGGGTTGAACTAGCAAGAATGGGGATACAAATAGCAAACCCTAGAAGGGTTGTACTCGCTACAGAGCACCCCACTGCAGGCTAGACAAATATAACATTCTGACACACCCCCATAGCCAAAGTGGGGTGTAATCAGCAGAGCAAGCAAAGCAGTACAAGCTCAGGGTGGATCACGATGTCACCACACATTCTGAGCACAAGTTCAAGAAGCAACAGTTTATAAGTTATGAGCAAAGCTAGAGGCGGTCACAGAGGACAAATGAGGAGGAGGAGGGCTGGCGAGAGGAGAAAGGAGTGGAGGCGACGACTGAAGCTGCAGACACACGGGCATCAGACGGCTCTGGCGCAACGCTAGTGGCTACCGGAAGCAGAGCCCCGGACTACAGGGGTAATAGTCGCTGCGGAGGGTGCAGCGGACCCACGGGCGACAGGTGCAGCCGGCTCTCTGAGCTACCGGAGGTCCGCGGAACCCCGGAATACAGGTGCTGCGGACGACACGACGGCAGTCTCCGCTCAACCTTCTTCAACAGTCCCACACCCCTCGACACACACCCCTTGCTTCACCCCTAGCTCCACTCCCACGGTACCCCCCCTTAAACCCCAAACCCTAGACTCCCACACACCACCCCCCTCAGCGGCAGCTGCAGTAGAGGGAGACTAGGGAGGAGGAGGAGTAGGTAGAGTAACGCACAACCGACACCCCCACAGCCGCCACCCCCACACTCCCCACCCCCAAACCCTAAAACGGGCGAAAGGGAGAAGGAGCGCGGGGGACGGCGAGGGGGAAGGCGCGCGACCCCCAGGGCGCCACCTCTGGGCAGCGGGGGCCGCGCGCGGCTCCCCAGGGCGCCTCGACGGGGCAGCGGGGGGCCGCGCGCGGCTCCCTAAGGCGTCGCGACGAGGCAGCGGGGGCCGCGCGCAGCTCCCCACGGCGTCGCGACGAGGTAGCGGGGGGCCGCGCGCGGCTCCCCAAGGTGTCGCGACGAGACGTCGGGGGCGACGCGCGGGGCTGCGGGGCGACGCGGGGGGTCGACGGCGACGGGGGGAGGGCGCTTCGACGGTGGGAAACCGCCGCGCGCCTCGGGGCGCACGGCGTGCAGAAAACCGCCGCGCGCCCCGAGCGCACGGCGGGATGAAAACCGCCGAAACCCTAGAAAAAATTCGCCGCGCGCGGCAGGAAGAAGTCGTCGCGCGCCCGAGGCGCCCGGCAGGAAGTACAGCAGCGGAAGCATTAGGTGGTGGGCCCACCCACAGGATCGACCCAAGAGGGTCGACCTGCTCTGATAGCATGTCAAGTGAATTAGGCAAAAAGAGAGAGAGGGTTGAACTAGCAAGAATGGGGATACAAATAGCAAACCCTAGAAGGGTTGTACTCGCTACAGAGCACCCCACTGCAGGCTAGACAAATATAACATTCTGACACAATGTTGGTCTCGTCGTGCACGATCTCACCGAGGTGAAAGTGCAGCGTGGCATGAAGACGATCATCGCGACCGAGTCCCGCGATGCCGCGATCCGCGAGTGTCGTCGCAAGGTCGAGAAGATCTCGCGCGAGTGCCGCCTGGACAACGTCAAGTACCGGGACCCGCACTTTGACCTCGCGAATATGGCCGATTTTTGTCTCAATGGGCTGAGGCAGGGCGAGGAGGGCGCGCCGCGGCCGGCCGCAGCGAAACGCGTCGGCGATCTCTACGATGAGCCGCTTTTCATTGTCGATGGCATCCGCGCCGGTGATATCAAGCAGGGCGGCGTTGGCGATTGCTGGTTCCTCGCGCCGGTCGCGACGATCGCGAACATGCCCACGCTGCTCGAGTCGATCTGTGTCGCGCGCGATGAACAAGTCGGGGTCTACGGGTTCATCTTCTTCCGCGACGGCGAGTGGATCTCCGAGGTCATCGACGACCAGCTCTTCGTGACGTACCCGGACTACGCCAACGTAGTCGACGACGACATGAAACGCGTGTTCCCGACCGAGGAGGAGTACGTCAAAGCCGTCCAGCGCGGCTCGAACGCACTCCATTTCGCAAAATGCGTCGATTCGAATGAGTCCTGGCTCCCCCTGCTCGAGAAGGCGTACGCCAAGGCGCATGGCGATTACTCCTCCATCGTGGGTGGGTTCACGGGCGAAGGGGTCGAGGATTTGACCGGTGGCGTCACGTCAGAGTTCATCACGCGCGACATCCTGGATAAAGACCGGTTCTGGACGGACGAGCTAAACGAACGTGAACGTTAAATTTCTTTTCGCGTGCGCGATCTCTGGCGTAAACGCGGACTCTGTGAACGGTATCATCGTAAGGCACGCCTACTCTGTGCTCCAGGCCGTCGAGATCAAGGGGACGCGTCTCGTGCAGGTGCGGAACCCATGGGGCCAGTCCGAGTGGACGGGTCGATGGGCCGATGGCTCGCCCGAGTGGACGGCCGAGTGGATGACCGCGCTGAACCATCGGTTCGGGGACGATGGCGCGTTCTGGATGAGCTATGACGATTTCCTGGCCACGTTCACGGTTCTTGATCGCGCGCGGATCTTCACGCCCGAGTGGACCATGGCGCAGGCCTGGACCCTGGTCGAAGCGCTCTGGCCGGCCAAGTTTGCGGGGCAGGAATTCAAGCTCACACTGAGCAAGCGCTCGCCGGTCGTGATCGCGCTGCAGCAAGCGGATGCGCGGTATTTCACGGGGCTTGAGGGAAAGTACGAATTTCGGCTGCATTTCCGCGTGCGTCGCGAGGGCGAGAGTGATTACTATGCGCGCTCGAAGCAGACACTGACGATGAACCGTTCGGTGAATAAGGAGTTGTTCCTGGAGGCCGGCACGTGGCGTGTGAGTGTCAGAGTCTCCCGCGAGCGGACGGCTCGGGTGTCGCGGTTGGACTATATGAAGGCATTCGTGAACGAGCAGTCGGCGAAATTCCTCGCGGTCGCGCGGAATTTCGAATACGCGCTTGACAAGGCCGTGGATACGACGCAGTGGGAGCAGATTGAAGAGGAGGTGGAGGAGGAGGTTGTGGTGGAGCAAGTGGAGGGGGAGCCCGAGGAGGAGCAGGCGGGTGAAAAGGAGGGAGCAGATGAGGAGGAAGAAGAGGAGGACGACAACGACGACACTGATGCGGTGACAGTGGTTGGTGTGCGTGTGTACGCCGCGGACCTGAAGCTCAAGGTCGAGTGTGCGCCCGTGGAGGACGTGCAGCTGGGCTTGGACCATCTCACAAATGGGGAGTTGGAAAACCTGCTGTAAACCCACTTACAGCTCGGCTGCTCATCAGAAAGCTGCGTTTCGGATTCTGGGAAATGTAGTTGAAGTAGGTGTGCTAGGTTTGGGTCTTTCAAACGTAAACCTACGGGAGCGGTTGGAATGAATGTGTGACGCGAAACCCAACTCCAATTGTATGGTTTCTTATTTGCGAGCGACAGTGGGCTACCTTATGCCTGCGATGTGGTTTTGAGGTCGGCAAATTTCCTAGCGCTGTGATTCGCCATCGAGAGTATGAAGTGCGAAATCGTAAGACGCAGTGTGGCAGTGCTGACGTGGTCAGTGATAGGTCAAGCGGTCGAACCACTCGGGGGTGTAGAATTGGCTCGGGCTAGGTGTATCATCATACGTGCTTGCAAAGACAAAAATGCAAATTAACTATTCTTCAACTGTTTTCAACAAGCTAACTTACGCGATACAAATATGTAAAGCAAAATTACGACCACTGTTATGAAAGCAAACATATACGAACCTGGAAGCCTGGTTTACGCGAAAATGTAAGCAATGCGCACTAAGTCTATAATTGCCTTGAAATTGTACATTTATGTTGTGAGCCTGTCAAAATAGCTTAGCATGTCACTCCACGAAAAATGGTAGCCCACTGTCGCTCTGTTCTTCGAAGACGATCAATGTCACAACCTGGCATGTCAGAGCAAAAGTAAAACCGCACAAAAAAAAAAAAAAACAAAACACAGAAACACAACACTGCGTGTTTAGGAAATGATAAGGGCGTGTCCCCTCGAAGATCGAACTTGGCCAAGTTCCGAACTTTCAGAGAAGTTTTATACGGTCGAAAACCGTTGAAAGACGTGTCGCCACAGTGCAAAACGTGGAACAATTGAAAGACGTGTCGAACTTCGAAAATTTCTGCCAAAAGAGAGACGCCCGAAGCGTTTCAACGAAGCAAGCGGATTATCCGAAGCTTGCCACCTGCAGGAAAATAGATAATAGACGAAACCGACTGCCATGGCTAAGTTTACTTCCGCGTAAACTAAAAGCAGTAGTGAATGAAATAAAGCGGCAGGTAATCAAGCTAGTGAAGAGAGGAGAACTGACGACTTACACAATGATTGATGCTGCTACATAAAGGCCAGCGTGTGGAATGGAGTGGGGTGGAGTGGAGGAGCAAAGATTGAGGGGAAAGGGAAGGAGTCTCGCATCGCAACCAGTTTCTTGGACTGACGGGAAAGGAGTGAAGGCGGGCTAGGAAAAAACAACATACAACAACTAAAACAAAAATTGATAAAACAGTCAGTGGGGAAGATTGGATGCACATTCGTGGTGCAAGGGCTGTACAAAGTAATTTTTTACATCTTCCGACGTCAGAATTTCGACGTCAATCGACATCGGGCTCGACGTCGATTGACGTCGAGCCTCCGCACTTTGAACACATTGGCGACTAACTGTCACTCAGGACAAATGCCGGCCTTAACAGTCAAACAATTGAATTGAGGCCGTTGAACAATTGAAATGAGAGTGTTGAACAATTGAATTGAGACCAAAACTGAAATCGCGAATTTTTTTTCGTCAACGTCTGTTGTGCGTCGATTGGCTGCGACAATTGCAAAGCGAGATTTACATTTTCGCAATGCTCAAAATAACCAACCATTCCAAATCTATAATTTTGTCTAATGTGAACCGGCCAACACTGTAGAGATGCGATCAATCTTCTAATATTGACCGTTTCTGCGCCGGAATTATTGCACAATTCCGTACATGTAGCGATGATGGCGTCAGCAGTTTTTAAAGCGTACTTTGAATACGGAAATGGCACCCTTCAGCTCACCTACCTCGCCCACCAACCTCGACGTTGATCGACGTCAGGAAAAATGCAGCTGTTTGAACACGCTTTAATTACGAAACAATGGTGAATGAAACTGAACGGTCAGATGGAAATAACGAACCACAATTGCACACAACCACACATGCCAGCGAAGCGATTATCCCGCTCGAGGTGTCGAACGTGTGCGGTTCGGAGGAGGAGAGGTGACTCGAATGTGGTTGTGTAATCCAGAGAAGAAAGAAACGGCGCGAGATGATTGGGCGCCATGAGCTGCCAGATCGCGCTGTCGCACGGCTTGCTGCCCAGAATTCTGCCAGCTCGACAAGTACAGTGGGGAGCAATGTTGTCACACGAGTTGATGCGTTCCAGGTTCATGAATCACGAACAGCTGGAAATGTTTGATGCACAAGACATTTCTCGTTACAATAGCATGTATAAAAAACGCAAGATGGGATACTTAGGTATACATATTGGATTGGCTCAATTTTCTGTAGGGACATTTTTCTAGCGTTAGCAGGCCTTCATAAATGCATAAAATCATTTGGAGCACTCGAGCTTGGGAAGTTGACAAATATGCTAAGGCACACGATGGTGCTGATGTTTCAGGCATGCACACGGATCACGGCATAAAAATATTACATAGAGATATTGGATTGACCTCATACAAAATCAATAATAAGGAGTATTTGAATGTGAAGTTTCTTAATGTGCAAAGACAGGCTTCGCCGTCTAAGTTCTGGGAAGGCATATGGGCCATTGCATGAATTGTGTAATAAAATATTTATTGGATTGATTTTTGAAAGTATCAAATCATTTGGACCTTTTGAGCTTGCGCAGCTGAGAACTGTACAAATGTTGGCAACGTTGTAGATGACAATAAGAACTTTATTACTTTTTTTTTCTGATTTTTTTTCCGAAAAAAAAAATAAATAAAATTGGCTCACCTCCTCTCGCCACAGCCTCATCGCTCAGTGCTTTCCGCAACGCTCTGGTCTGCAAGCGATGGCTGCGCGTCGCCAGATCCGTGCATCCCGCCATCGTCGTGCCTCGTAACCATTTTTTCTCCACACAAACTCTCGCCTCGCTCCTGGTCTCACCCACCTGCACCTCAGCAAATTCGCGACGGACATCGTAGATCGCCACCTCGTGCGATCAGTCTACGACGGATGCGGCTCGTTGCTGACCCATTTACAATGCACCAGTATGATCGCCAACTAGTGATTTCCGGTATAAGAAGAACAAGCTATCGGTCAATATCGAGCAAGCAATCGGCCGATAGTAGCCGAGGGGAACAATCGACCAGCCTTGCACCGATCTTGACCTCGAATGTCGCCGAAATCTTCACTTCCTGCACGTGTTTGGTCAATCAGGATCTACGGCTGGGTAAAGGGGGTTTGTGAGATCCTACCTTCCATCAGCCGCCTACAGTGCTTAATCGCCTCAGCATGAGCTTTAATAATGTTACGAGGTTACTAGAGGAGCTATTCAGCCTGTTGAGACTGAAGCAGTTACACATCATGTCGCAGTCTCTTTGCGTGCTGCCAATTCCGAACGGCTCTCTCACCTCTGTAGAACACCTCTCGCTTCGCAGCTGCCTTACAGGCCATCTCCCGAACGACTTAGGCCAGCTTCATAGCATCAAGATCCTAAGCCTCTCATATCTACCACACCTTGCTTTACTTTCTGAATCCATCTGTTCACTACCGGCGCTCTCCCACCTTTCTCTTGACCACCACCCCCGATTTGCTAGGCTTCCAGATTATATTTTTCAGCTGCCCAGCCTAGATATGCTGCATTTAGATAGACTCGCTGCTCTCACCACGCTTCCTGATTCGTTTGGCCAGCTGCTCGCCAGCCAACCCTTGAGACATCGCAAAAACAGCGGAGGTGGAGGGGTAGCGTTTAGTTCAGCTGCTTCAAAGCTGCTTGGCGTAAACTGACTATAGGGTTGCGCCATACCTACCCTGGAGCTACTTTCAAGGTTGGCGCTTCGGGATTTAGCGGTAAGTCAGAAACATGATTAGGGATTGAGATTGCGTGCAGGAGTTTCGTTGGCTATCGATTCAAAGCTACGGAAAAGCTGCTCCTACCGAATTGCTTGTGCTTCGTGGATTTTGTGTTTTTGGGTTCGCCCATTTCGCCCAAGATGGGGTTACTGCAAGAATTCTCTCATGTTCTAATCCTCGCTGAGAAATCTCGCGTGCTGCTGTGCAGTGTTTTTATTGTTGTAATTTAAATGGCTGTGTCTGTAACCTATCATCTGTTAAATAGGTACAAAATTGACAAATTCGATAATTGCATTTTGCTGTTCGAATTCAACAATATTAACTACGAATGCTACCCTTGTTGTAGTTCATTTATTGTCAGCACTGCACGCAAAAATATTTTACAGCTCGATCCAATATGTAATAGAATTCTTTAGCAATATGCAAACAAGTTAGAGATATATGCGTGCAAGCACGGATCTGCGAACGACAAGTGGGCTGGGAGCCACATATAAACTATTATTTCCGTGACTTGCCACACAGGTTGGAGCTCCTCTCCCATGTAGCCATGGCTATCATCTTTGATAATGAGCTCAAAATTGTTACTGTGATAGATAATAGATGGCATGAACGGGAGATATAGTACTGAATGACCAGTCAAACTAAACCATGTGCATATGCATTTGAGCGTGGTATCAACCATTACCTCAATGCATCTCTGGCAATTATCATGCTCGCACTTGCGAGGGAGTCGTTAAGGTCCGAAACAAATTTGACTCTACATGTATTCTCACAATACGCGACGATACCAATGTTGATTGAACCGCACCACTACGTTCGCAACTCACTATCACACATGAACACTAAGTACTATGGGCCATGAACAGCCCCTCTCCAATGAGATGAGAAATGCGTGACTTGGCATACCATAACAGTAAGCATACGGGCTGAGAAGCTTCAATGTCCGACGTGTGAACGATGTGATGATGTGCTCTGCTCGATTGATATCTGTCCGGTTGATGACCTTGTACGTGGCAACGCGTCGGCCCACACCCAACTTGGTCGAGAAAGTCTCATCATCCACACCACGCTCCTCAAAAAGGCGCACAAATGCCAGGGGGACCTTTTGCGGCAATCCGTCAGACCCATGAATCTTAACATGCAATAGCATCAGCAGTTGGGCATAGGTGGGGGTGGGTGCGCTGGTGGATGCAACATTCGTGCGTGGTTTCAATGACAAGCAAGAGAACCAGGGGGAACCATGGAACATGGGGCTTGCACATGCATAGTGGACTTCAACACCTGTTTGTGAAGGAAATGCCACAGCAGAGTGCACCTGCACGGTGGTGGGGAAGGGGATGAGTTTTATAACTTTACAAAGGGTTTGGGAAGCCCATTTGCAGAGATCAATCAATTGTTGACGTCTGAGTTCATAACCGCTGAGCTCTCGGATACAACCAGCTCACAAGCCATCTACCTCCGTCCCTCTCCGGCCTCTACAAGATCTTGCCTTTGTAAACCCCGCCTTACCGCCCTCACCCATCGTGACTCACTGCACTCACACTCCTTATACGTGAGGGGATTCCGTCTTCACATCTCCCCCTCCTCTCCCCTGCTCCTCCCCCTCGCATTCCCCCCGTTGTTCGGAACGATCCTGTAACATCCATGCACTTACGGGCGCCACAGGCTAACACAAATCCCCATTCTCCCTGTCCTGTCTAGGTTGAGTGGAGGGAATCGCATCTCTTCCACTCTCCCCGACACCGTCATCCGCCCTCACCTCTATGCTCGCTCTAAACGCTCCTGCTCCTGGTTTCTTCAATGCCTTCCCCTCCCATCTGGAAAAATGTGAGTGGGATTCAGCAACATTTCAGACCCTTTTGCAATTCACCTTTCTCCCGTGCCCTTCCTCTCTCCCCTCCCCCCCGCCCAGCAGATATTTGAGCGAGATTTAGTTCTTGGGGACGCACATGAAAGCCTTCACATCGCCAGCAGTGGCCAACCCACCCTCACAACCTCCTCTCAACCTCTCCGGCAACTTCCTCTCCTCCTCCGCCGCTGCCTTATCCGCCGGAACCACCACCACTACCCCCCCAACCTCCTTGACCAACAGCACCACCAGCAGCAGCGCCAAAGCCACCACTATCATCATGTATTGCCCTTCGACCCTTCATAGTCCGCTACGCGCCTGCGAATACCGCCCCTCTCCTTACACCAGCCAGCCGGGAAAATTCTTTCTCTGAGGCAACTGGAACGTGCATCAAAGCTTTTTGAACGAGAATTGCAGGGGCAACGCAAAGCAGGACGAAACCGTGGCAGCGCGGGCGCCCAAGCAGGAGCAACCACCGGCAACTGCGCAGGTGGCAGCAGCGGATGGAGTGCTAGTGCGGGGACAGGATAGTGGAGCGGAGCGCTCTGCCCTGCCCCTCTCTGCTCACATACATCCTCTTCTCTCTCTGCCTGTGCCTCCCAGCTCGGCAAGCCTCCAGTGGACAACACCACTGGAGGCTTGCCGCTGCCTGCCTTCCCTCCTCCAACTACGCTTGTCTGCATTTTCTGCCTTTCCTGCATTTCCTCAACGCACACACACTGCATCCCCCCTCCCCCATTTCTATCCCTCTATCTGTCCTCTCCCTCATCTCCTGTGCCTTACATCCCACTGCCTTGCATTGCCCACTCATTCTCACCTCCGCCTCTCCTCATCTTCCCGTTTGCGTTCACACCTCCTCACCTCCGCCTCCCCTCATCTTCCCGTCTGCGTTCACACCTCCTCACCTCCGCCTCCTCTCATCTTCCCATTTGCGTTCACCTCCGCCTCTCCTCATATTCCCGTCTGCGTTCACACCTCCTCACCTCCGCCTCCCCTCATCTTCCCGTCTGCGTTCACACCTCCTCGCCTCCGCCTCCCCTCATCTTCCAGTCTGCGTTCACTCATACTCACCTCCACCTCCCCTCATCTTCCCGTCTGCGTTCGCACCTCCTTGCCTCCGCCTCCCCTCATCTTCCCGTCTGCGTTCACTCATACTCACCTCCGCCTCCCCTCATCTTCCCGTCTGCATTCACACCTCCTCACCTCCGCCTCCCCTCATCTTCCCGTCTGCGTTCACTCATCCTCACCTCCGCCTCCCCTCATCTTGTGGTTTGCGTTCAATCATCCTCACCACCGCCGCCGCCCCTCATCTTCCCGTCTGCGTTCACTCATCCTCACCTCCGTCTCCCCTCGTCTTCCCCTTTGTCTCTCCATATGTCCCCTTCTGCCTTCCCCCCTCTGTGAACGCACCCAGGTGGATAGAGATGATAGCGCGGCTAAAAACCTAGGCGCCTTTGATGCAGGGGACGATGGAGATGTGAAATCAGGGCGACTTTAAGCATAAGCGCAAGAATGGGCCTGGCTAGATACCTGCTGTGGAAACTTGCAACCATGTTTATGTTTGGGACTAATGTTTGGTCCCTAGAGTGGAGGAAACTATGCCAAACACCACCACCTCGACGTTGAAACCGCACCACGCCTTGCCACATGCCAATCCTCGTATGCCTTTTCCAACGCTATTGTTCAAATAAAGATATATTCCGACCAGGACCACTAACCGCACCAAGCCGCCACTAGTTCTAAACTTTAGAAGCATCTGGATATTTGTAGGTAGTAGGCCACGAGGGACGGTGCGTCGTTGCGTTGAATGAAATGACACAACGCTTCAGATGTGGGCTGTCCTAGCACGCACCACCCTGACACTCTTGTTTTCATCCTCCTTTAAACGCCCTTGACTTTCTTTACGTTTTTTACTTTCATTTAGCCTGTTCGTGCAACACCCTTTCCAACTTATACATATGAAGGTTGTTGTCTGCATATGTAGGGAAAAAACTCTATGTAATACATTGACCATGAATGGAAACCTGATAATACTTGGAAGGTGTACAAAAACACATCCGTTCCGAGCTCGTGCGTTGCGTTTCTGCTGGAGCGCATTGAACCTTGCGCCGCTGGCAGACCGCTATGGGTAGGCGCTTCGGAAGCGCATTTCGTTCCGTGCAACGCCCGATGTGATGGGGATTGTGCAGGTTTTGTTTCTGGCGTATTCGGTTTTCCCCAGTCGCTTGTCTAAACTCTCACTGCCTGAAGCTAAATAACGTGGTCTAGTTCATAGTAACCCTCCCAACTTCTAGAGTTACCCCACCATGGCCGAACGTGTGGGTATTAGAGGGATATCACGATGTACTTCAACGTTTAGAACTTGGTAACCTGCTAGATGTGAATTGTACGGGTATTCTAGGACCACAACTCGACATTACCCCTGCATATCCCGTTTTTTGCATGTTCAGCTATGCTGAGCAATGAAACCGTGAGCCTCGTGGTATGTTCCTAGGGTCCTGGACGACGACCTCGCACGTGGATCGTCCGATCTGACAGCGTGCGGGATTGACGGCCCAAAAACTCTGAGGTGTGACTATAATATTCGCCTGGTCATTGTGCTTCCACCGATCTGCAGGCCAATGTGTCCAGTGAGGTCACATTTCACACCCCCCTCCACCCACCTCTACCTGACGCCTTTCATTCAATTGCTCATGACAGCCGCACTCCTCCCCATCTGGTTCTCCCATTAGGGTTTCAAGTGCAAGTCGTACTATTCACAACAATACCCTTCCTTAGCTTGCCGATTTTCATCCCTCAAACACTCATGGTGGCTGAGCAAAACATGAAGTAGCAGGACCTACGGGATTTGTTAGTATGATTTAGTATAAAGCTGCTGCGCAACCAATCACTAAGCCATAGCGAGGCTGCTAATCGCGGTCTGGCCACTATGATGCAAGTGGCAGCAGGAAATGACATTTCATCAAATGGTCGTGGCCGTGGTGGACATAGCGGCGGAAGCCGGGGAGGGCGTGGGGGGCGCGGAGGGCGCGGTGGGAAAGGACCGTCGGAACCCCTCCCAGAAGGTGTGTCTTTTCAATAAGTGTGTGTAGTGTCGTCTAATACCTCCCCTGTTACACATTAAAAAGAATCATGCGTAGTCCGCGTCTTAAGCATTGACCCTAACACAATACTCGAGGCTTTTGTGAACACTGGTTTTTGCACATTGCTTGCAGGAAGCCGTGGATGGAAGCCGTTGGACTACGTGATGGAGAATGCCAAGAACACCACGTCCCGATCGGACCCGGAGGACACAAGTGGACATGCTCCAGTGATGGTGATGACCGAGACACAGCAACCACGTGCGCAAAATGCAGCCAAAAGCCACGTGTACAAGACTCGTAGTAAGAAGCAACCTGCTAGCGCCACGGCCTTCACTACCGGCGAGCAGCTGCACTCTACTGCTGCTCCCGCAAATGCTGGCGCCACCAACTTCTCTACTGGCCAGCAGCTGCACTCTACTGCTGCTCCTGCAACTGCTGGCGCCACCAACTTCACTACTGACCAGCAGCTGCACTCTACTGCTGCTCCCGCAACTGCTGGCGCCACCAACTTCACTACTGGCCAGCAGCTGCATTCTACTGCTGCTCCCGCAACTGCTGGCGCCACCAACTTCACTACTGGCCAGCAGCTGCACTCTACTGCTGCTCCCGCAACTGCTGGCGCCACGGCCTTCACTTCTGGCCAGCAGCTGCACTCTACTGCTGCTCCCGCAACTGCTGGCGCCACTGCCTTCACTACTGGCCAGCAGCTGCACTCTACTGCTGCTCTCGCAACTGCTGGCGCCACCAACTTCACTACTGGCCAGCAGCTGCACTCTACTACTGCTCCCGCAACTGCTGGCGCCACGGCCTTCACTTCTGGCCAGCAGCTGCACTCTACTGCTGCTCCCGCAACTGCTGGCGCCACGGCCTTCACTTCTGGCCAGCAGCTGCACTCTACTGCGGCTCCCGCAACTGCTGGCACCACGGCCTTCACTTCTGGCCAGCAGCTGCACTCTACTGCGGCTCCCGCAACTGCTGGCGCCACGGCCTTCACTTCTGGCCAGCAGCTGCACTCTACTGCTGCTCCCGCAACTGCTGGCGTCACGGCCTTCACTTCTGGCCAGCAGCTGCACTCTACTGCTGCTCTCGCAACTGCTGGCGCCACGGCCTTCACTTCTGGCCGGCAGCTGCACTCTACTGCTGCTCCCGCAACTGCTGGCGCCACGGCCTTCACTTTTGGCCGGCAGCTGCACTCTACTGCTGCTCCCGCAACTGCTGGCGCCACGGCCTTCACTTCTGGCCGGCAGCTGCACTCTACTGCTGCTCCCGCAACTGCTGGCGCCACGGCCTTCACTTCTGGCCGGCAGCTGCACTCTACTGCTGCTCCCGCAACTGCTGGCGCCACGGCCTTCACTACTGGCCGGCAGCTGCACTCTACTGCTGCTCCCGCAACTGCTGGCGCCACGGCCTTCACTTCTGGCCGGCAGCTGCACTCTACTGCTGCTCCCGCAACTGCTGGCGCCACGGCCTTCACTTCTGGCCGGCAGCTGCACTCTACTGCTGCTCCCGCAACTGCTGGCGCCACCGCCTTCACTTCTGGCCAGCAGCTGCACTCTACTGCTGCTCCCGCAACTGCTGGCGCCACCGCCTTCACTTCTGGGCAGCAGCTGCAATCTACTGCTGCTCCCGCAACTGCTGGCGCCACCGCCTTCACTTCTGGCCAGCAACTTCACTCTACTGCTGCTCCCGCAACTGCTGGTGCCACCGCCTTCACTACTGGCCAGCAGCTGCACTCTACTGCTGCTCCCGCAACTGCTGGCGCGACCGCCTTCACTACTGGCCAGCAGCTGTACTCTACTGCTGCTCCCGCAACTGCTGGCGCCACCAACTTCACTACTGGCCAGCAGCTGCACTCTACTGCTGCTCCCGCAACTGCTGGCGCCACCAACTTCACTACTGGCCAGCAGCTGCACTCTACTGCTGCTCCCGCAACTGCTGGCGCCACCGCCTTCACTTCTGGCCAGCGGCTGCCCACCCCAATTGCTCCTGAAATTGACAGCCTCCCCTACTCCGGATTTGCCAGCCCTTCACAGCAGGTCTTCATGCAATGCGACGTGGGTTCCGACTCTGAGGAGTACGGAGAGTGTGCCGACGAATTCGACGAGATCTTCAACAAGGAGACAGCGGAAAATGCATCTCCGGTTGTTGCTGCCAGCGGGCCCAATGCTGCTGCAGCCACCTATGCTGGTATGGCAGGTATGCCTGACGGGATTAACAACTCTCCAGTGCTTGCTGCTGGTGATGTCATCTCGCGGGCTGAGTTTGAGGCACTGTCGGCCCAATTTCGGAAGGTGGAGCGCGAAAACGTGGCTCTAAGGAATGAAATTAACTACCTCCATTGCTTAAAGCCGGCAGCCCAAATTGCACAAGTTTTAAAAGGTTGACGCGAGGGGGTTTTTCTGGTCTGGGTTTTGGCGAGTGATTCCGATTTCGCCTTTTTCCTTTTTTTTTTGCCAAACCAGCCTGCCCTGGAAATTCGCCCTGGGAGTTGGTTCAGTCCCCGAAAGTCCCAAATTGCAGGTGCGCTCCTTTTCAAAACTTGCAAACACTACTTCGTCAAGTTTTAAAAGCTTGACCCGCGCGCTCCGCAATTTGGGACGCGGGCTTTAAACCAGTCAGCTTCTCCCCGATCTGGTAGCCCCGCAGGTGATGGGACCACTCCCATCGAAGCTGCATCAGTCGGAGCATTGGCTATGGATCCTGAAATTGTGCCACAGGTCTACTTGTCTTCACACCTGGCCGTTGGTCGCGCCATCGCCAATGCATACCAGAACGGCGGCATTGTGTGCGGTAACAACGTGGTGCCCGAGTACGAGTCATTTGCGGCTCAGCTTGCTGACGCTATGAAGAAGGTTCCGCCTCACAAAGGTCGACTTACTGTAAGCGTGACGTTAGTGTGCCATTGAAACTTGTCTTGATTCAAGTTTTCAGCAAACCCTTAACCTCGGTCATTGAATCTTGCCTTGATTCGAGTTTCCAGCAAACCTTAATCCCTTGTCATTGAAATTTGCCTTGATTTGAGTTAACCCAAACCCTAAACCCCAGTCACTGAAATTTCCCTTGTCTCTAAACTGTTCAAACCCTGAACCCTTGTCTATGTTGTACGTAACCTATGTCGCACCCTATATCGCAGATTGCGATGAAAAAAACCGTGGACATCCTCATGTTCCAAACCCCGAACGACCGAGTCGACTATTGGCCGCCCTGAAGTAGTCTTCTCGGTGCTATGGAAGTTGCATTGGGATACACCACGCAGCAGCAGAAGTGGAATCTGATCCACGTCTACGAGTTCGGTCTCGTTTGGCGCAGTTACATCCGAGACCAGCTCCAAGACTTTCGAAGTGACTGCTTGACGACTGGACGCTGTTCGGTCACTAATGCGTTTGATTTACGCATTTCTCGGCCAGGCAAGCAACGGGCGGTGATGGGAACGGAAGACGTCATCAAGTTTCTGACAAAGTACAAGCCGGGTGAGTGGTAATTGAGATCTATGATACCCATTGCATTTTCACTCACAGCCATCTAGTACCCCCCCTTTCCTGCCCTCCCTTCTCCCCTGTTCTGTTGCCCTTTGCCCCCCAAACACCTTTCACTGGCTTCCACTTTCACTCGTTCAAAATCATTTGACTTTCCATCACAGCAACTGCGTATCTGCCTTCCCTGACCTCCCCTCTCCCTCATTCTCCCTCATTCCCTCCCATTTTTTCTGCCTTTTTGCCGTTCCCAAAATAGCAGCCCCGTAGTCGCCATCTCTGTTCACCCCTCTCCCCCCTTGCACTCCCCTCTGCCTTTCTCTCACAGCAACACCGTTACTGCCATCCTTGTCCTCCCATCTCCCCATATTTGCTACCCTTTGCCTTTACCTCATAGGAGCCCTATCCCCACCTTACCCCCCCTCCCTCCACTTCCCAGGGCTGCTGTCCATAGCCTTTCCATCTCAAGAACCCTCAAACCACCTTCCCTGGCCTCCATTCGGCCCTGTTCTGCTGCCCTTGGCGTTTGTCTCACAACAACCCCGTACCCGACTTCAGTGTCCTGCCCTCTCACCGGTTTTTCTGCCCTTTATACTCTCTCACAGGAAATCCGTTCTCGTGTTCCAATAGGTGCTTCCCTTTGCCGTTCCCTGGCAGCAACATCATTACTACTATCTTTGTCTTCCCATATTCCCCTTTTGGCTGCCCTTTGCCTTCCATGGCCTCCACCACTCTCCTCACTTTGGCTGCTGTTTGCATTTCCATCACATCGACCTTGTTCCCCCTTCCACTATCCTCCCCTCTCCTCCAGGTTGCTGCCCTTAGCCTTTCCCTCACAGAAACCCCCAACCCACCTTTCCTGGCATCAACTCGGCCCTGTTCTGCAGCCCTTCGCGTTTTCCTCACAACCAATAGCATACCCTTCCCTGCCCTGCCCTCTCCCCGGTTTTGATCCCCTTTGCTTTTCCCTCACATGAACCCTGTTCTCGCGATCGATGTCCTCCCGTTTCCCAATTTTTGGTGCCCTATGCCTTTCCCTCACAGGAAACTGCAAAGTACCATCATTGGCCTCCACTCTCCCTTGTTTAGCTTCCCTCTGCGTTCCCTCACATCAATCTTGACCATTCCTTCCCTGTCCCCCCCTCTCCCCATATTTGCTTCCCTAAACCTAAATCTCATACAGCAACATCATTACTGTGTACCCTTATCCTCCCATCTCCCCATTTTGGCTGCCCTATGTCTTTCCTTCACAGAAACCCCGCCCTTGTCTTCCCTGGCCTCCATTCTCCCCACGTTAGCCACCGTTTGTCCTTCCCTCACAGTAACCTCTGCCTTCCCTGTCCTCCCATCTCCCAGGTTCTGCTACCCTATGCTTTTCCTTTAGAGGAACCCCGTTCTCGCCTTCCCTGGTCTGCACTCCCCATATTTGCTATCGTTTGCCTTTCCCTCGTAGAAACCCCGTACCCCCTTTCCCTGTCCTCCCCTCTCTGCCAATCAGCTGCCCTTAACCCTTGTTCTACAGGAACCCCCAAACCACCTTCCCTGACCTCCACTCGGCCCCATCCTGCTGCCCTATCCCTCCTTAGCTCACACGGATTATGTTGGTGTTATCATATGCAAGTTTGTTCTTTCTAATGCCCATGCACAGTCCCGGGTTCTTTTGGACTTCGAATCTGGCACATGAACACGCTTGGTGTCCCTTTTGCAAGCCCTGCCTTTCTCTCTGGCATCGCCAAGTCTTTCAAGCGTGATGGGCACAACATCGTTGTGCTCCTCTTGATACACATCGCATTCTGGTTGTGCGGGGTAAGTGCATTCTATCATAGATTTTAATGCTCAAGGGCAGTTGCGATAATTCAAAACTAAACCATATTCATGTTTACATTGCAGGTTGAAAGGAAGCTTGAAGGAAAAGACATGTCCCAGTGCCCTAAAGACAACCGCGCATTCGTTATGGATTATTATGTCAAGGTGCGGGAATAGGTGCGTGCAATCCTTGCAATAAGGAACGACACTCGAGGACCTTGGTGGGACGACAATCATCATGCGTGGAAGTTTGCAGGTGGACAGACATATGTTTTTATCAGCAACGATGGTGTGGACAATGACTAGTTTAGCGTAAAAAAACCCTCGGCTCGTAACCTTTGGACGACATTGATAGTGGTTTTAGTCTTGTTTTTGGTTCCGGTTTTAGCCGATTGTTGATTTAGTTTATAGATTATAATACAAAATTGTAGTACTGTAATGGAAATTATTATAGTAGTTATTAAATATATATGTGCTTTATAAAAAACAATAATAAAATCGAAATTACTATTTGTGATTGAAATGAGAATATATAATTGCAAATTTAAATAACACTAATATACGCTGAGTGCGCATTTGTTACTAGTACCGAGTTACGAGGTAACACTATTTTCGATAATGTATCAAATATGTATCACTGTATCGATTCATTTTTTCCGACTCCCTGTATCGAGTCGTAACCTGAATCGTAACTGATAAACAGAACTGTTCGCTCCGCTTTCTGTGGACCTCGCTTCCAATTTCGTTTTTGTTTTTTAGGCCAATTAGATTGGCCTGCGACTGCTGGTAAGGTCGATCAACTGTGAACAGGTGGAAGACACGTGTCATAATGGTTTTTGCTCAAGTTCATAGCTACGTTAGAGTAGCTTCGAGAATCTGGCGATGTGCAGTCCAGATTCGACTTCAATGTCCAGTCACGAAAGAAACCAAACAGAGCTACGCTAAAGTAGCTTCATTCTCTTCAAGATGAGCGGCTCAAATCTGGCGCGAATTCTTCTCTGTAGAAAAGCGAGCCCAACAGCAACTTCAACGTAACCTTGCCAGCAACCCCAAGGCAGGCCGCACCAAACCAACCATAGAGCTACCCCAGAGTAGCTTTGCTGCAGCTTTCGGAAGCCCTTTTTTTTGCGATGGATCTCCGGCCCACTCGAGTCTCATGATCCACAATTGTTCACGCCTATCCTTGCGCCCTAACGATATTGGTCGTCTTTTTGCTCTCCAGCAGATGCATATGAAGTTCATTGATTGGCTTACGATTCTTTCGCATTTTCTGGGGCTCCTTATGGTAATGAAGGAGTTGAAAGTGGTTGAGTGCGTGAAGCTCATGAACCTCCCCGAGTCCGTATCCGCCATGGAAGCTCTCACAAGCTTGCGTGAAGCTATTTTCAGAATGTCTTCTTCACCTGCCTGACTCGTTCGGGTAGCTGGGGCAGCTGAAAGAGCTGACCATATACGAATGCTATGACTTCTTCAAGCTCCCTGCCTCCTTCACCAACCTCTCTTCACTAGAAACCCTTCTCATCTATGGTGGATCTTTCAGAATAACGAGGCAAGAATGAATGAACTAGCAGAAGTTTGGGTACAAATATGAAACCCTAGTTGGGGTTGTACCCCATATTGGCTACCCCACTACAGCCTACCAACATATAACACATTACACTTTAACACACCCCCATAGGCAAAGTGGGGGAGAACAAAGGGTCACAAGACCAGTCCAGCAAAGCAACGCAAGCCCAGGGTGGATCACAACGTCACCACACTTCGAGCACAAGCAAAGGCCACAAGGCCAGTTCACATGCAGTGCTAGATATAGTACAAGACAAGCAACACAGTGATCAAAACCTAGCAAGCAAGCAACAAGATATATATAAAGTACAGTACAAAGAATGTCAAGCAGTGAGCAAGTGAGGAAACGTGGACACAAGGCCTAAAGAAGTACAGTGCCGCTGATGATCACTAGGCGGGAGCGCCTTGGTGAAGATATCAGCAGTGTTGGCCTTCGAGTCCACGTACACAAGCCGAAGCTGACCGCGCTGCTGAAGCTCTCGAGCAAGAAAGTAGCGAAGAGCAATGTGCTTCGTCCTGTGCTCCAGTCTGTGCTCCTG